GGCCGTTTGAAAAAATTGGCCGTTTCATTTTACCATTTTCCAACGGCCATATCTTGGTCAAATGCCGGCCGATTTTGATGTTTGAGGCCAAAAATGAAATCTATTTTTCAAGACCTTTCCAGTGATGTACATTACTTTTTGATCCGTTGGCCCGTTAAAAAACTCATTTTTGGCCGCCATTTATTAATGGCCAAAAATGGCCAAAGGCCGGCCAAATGTTGTCCTCAAAATGTTTCATTCAGTCTGAATTTCAATAGGCTATCAGATTAAAACCCTTATTTGGGTTGAATGGGACAAAAAGACATTGAAATATGGATTTTATAGTCGTACTCAAACTTTTGATCGGCACTGTATGATGGCTATTATTGCATCGTTCATGTGTCTCATGACAATTCTCGAGAAAGTGATATGCGCTCGAAGATGTGCATACAAACTGGATGAGCACAAGAGCCATCTCATTGTAACGCGCAGCTGTTTGCAAATGCGTAAGTATACTCGAGCCACTTGAACAATTTTCAAAACTACTTCTCTCTCTTTCTCTCTCTCTCTCTCTCTCTTCCTTCATCTCCATTTTCGAAAGAGAATTAGTCATTTAAAGACTTAAAAGCCGATTTCAATGTTGCAAAATTTAAAGAGATGAGATGAGATGTAGGAATGAATCTCATGTGTAGCGAATTTATATGTCTTTGGTGTCATTTTTTTTCTTCTTTCGTTGCATAGAGGAAATTCCCATTTCTCGAGTACAAGCAGCAAAAACAGCTGCAACAACGGAAAAAATGGAAGCAACAGCAGCAGCAGCATCAGCAGAGCGGTTGTTTGTTTGGTCCAGTGGACATGAGTTTTAATGCGATTCATATTGTTTTCGAGCAAATTCTTTGGAGTGCAACAAATGAATGCACCAAACGAATGTGCTTCACTCGGTTTGCGTTTTTATCATCTCTTTTGTCACAGTAATTGTGACCTCATGTGTCAGTCTCTATCTATCTCTCACTCTTTCTCACTTTGCGGCCGGGAAAACTTTCTTTTCGTTTATTTTTTTTTCAGCATGGCTAACATTTTTTTCGCTGCTGCCACTATCATCGTCGTTGGTACCGCCTCCGCCGTCGATCCATAATTACCCTGAAGCACTTTCATATAGATAACGATTATATGGCTCCATTGTGGCATAAAAAACATTATACTGTAATAAAATGCACATTTTGCAATGACAATAATAGCAACGTAGCAGCAGCAGCAGCAATAACAGCGGCCACCTGAAAAACGGGTGACACACATTTCACGGGCGAGCTATGCACAAGAGATGATAAATTCTGTTCTGTGAATTTGGTGTGTTCCGTGTTTGTTGAATGGGGCCGGTCGTATAGTGAGAGACACCGAGCGACACAGGTTTGATTGTGTTGCAAACTTCGATAAACTATTTTCGAATCTGAATGAATTACGAAAATTTTTGTCTTGTTTACACGAAAACACACACATAAATGGTACGACATTGCGAAACACCCAAACGACCACAGAATGGAAAAAAAGACGATACAAACATAATAGTGCAAAAAAAAATCGCCATGGAATTATCGTTGTTGCATATGAAACCGATGAAAAGTATTAAAACAATGGGTATGTCTCTCACTGATATGCTGTTGTGCGAATAACAGCGACGAATTCATAAACCTTAATTTTTCTTGAGAGGCGCGCGCACAGCCGCACACCTACTGTATCTCGCTCTTTCGTAGGGGACAATTGCGCGCGCTCTCGCACTCCTCTCACTTGGCCAGAATCAGAATTGAGTGTGTTTGTATTTCGTCAAGTGTTAGAAGCAGAAGCAATATGATAGATGACCGACTAGTGCTGCATACACTTCAGAATGCACCATTGTTTTGTCTCCCACGTGAATATCTAAGTTACACATATATATACCTCTTTTTTTTCGGTCATATCTCAAAAGAAAATTCACAACAATAAACGTAAATGAATGAATGACACATACAAAACAGTTTCATTGTTATTAGATACGTTGCCGTTGCCATTGCTGTTGTTATTGTTGCTGGCTTTTTTTCACTTCTTCTACTACGTTGTGTGCATTATCGTTTTTTTTTCTCTCGCTATTTTCAATCTGCATGAACTCACAAATATTCCGCACGCGGTTTTCTGCTACGACGAACTCTATGATCACTTTGATGCAGTTTGCATTTTCCTGTCATTCGATTCAGTTTATTTTTATTATACGCGCTAATATCGATTTCGTGCATTTGCGAATTTCAATTAAATCTTTTCGCATTTGCATTTGAACTGTGCTTTCCGGTGGTTTTGTTGTGCTGCGGCTGAAAAATACTGCAGAATCGATAAAATTTAGTTTCACGAAAGATTTGTTTTGAAAAAAAGTTTTCTTCTAAGGCGAGGGAATAACGGAAGGGAATGTTGTTGAGGGAACAACGGAAATAAGAAAAAAACAACGATAAAAATAACGGAAAACAAAGAAAATAAAAAAGATCCAAAACACGCAACAATCCCTTGAATTTCGCCAGAAAATACGAGTTTTTTCTGAGTATTGATGTGCATAAAAAGTGTGAAATGCATTTCGAAAGTGATTGTGTAAGAATCAAGTGACGAAAGTTGGAAAGTGCTGGCGAAGTGTTTCGCTTTACGAAGAAAGAAAATGCTGAAGCCAAACAGTGAGCACATGGTTTTGTGGCGATTATCGTTGATCGTGATTTTAAGTAGTGTGTTTTAACGAGTTTGTGTGAACGAAGGCGTCAGCATGCGGTCAGCTATTGCACGAGTTTCCCTCAAAATTATCGAATTGGTTAGAGAGAAAGAGAAACATGTTACTTTTCCACGCACACTACGCGGTGCTTTTAAGTATTTCGAATACAATGACAAGTGGAAAATTAAAATTTTGAGATAAATGATCATGTGAAATGTATCAAAACTAGATTACTTGGAAGTTCGCTTTCTTTTTACCCGTTTTCAAGTTCCAATTTTCCTAAAAGCGGATGGCCAAATTGTTGATTAAAGTCAAATTTTAACAAATACCGAATGAATTATTTTTTTTTTTATCGTAGTTCGGTTCAGAATTTTTCGTTTTTTGTTAGCATCTTTTTCGGTTTTACGTCTTTATTTCCAAAAAAGTCTTTCAAATATGATAATAAATCCGAAACAATAGGTGTTTTTAAAGCATTTTTTCATGAAAATCTCAATTTTTTCCATTAAATTTCTGATTTTTCAACCTTCAAAACTTTATTTTCCAAGCAATATGAATACATTTTTGTGGGTTTTTCTTGAATTGCTTGGGAGGTGCCTTTTCATTCAATTTGAATTATTCAATGAAAATCTGAAAGTTATCGCACGTAGAGATCAATTTCAAAAATAACACTTCCGTTTGAAAACGGGCTGATTTTTAACCAAAAATTTAGAAAGTTTGACTAAGATTTGGACACTAGTCCCACATTTCCTTGAAATTTCTAACATTTTCAAAAAAAATTACTAAAAATTCTGAAGGTGCTTCGATTTCAACATCTCAGGATTGCAATACAGATCAATTCATTTGCAAATTACTTAGTCAATAAGATATTTTATTCTATCAATTTCTTAATAGATATACGAAAAGGTATAAAAAGGGCGCCTTCTTTTTGAAAATTACTTGTTTGAACCAAAAATTTGATTTGGTTAGACATTGTTGACTTTTTTGACAATTATGATAAAACCGAAAAAACGAAGCGAAAGAAAAACGTTGACGTTCGATAAAAAATTACCTTTCACGATCTCATGACATGTCAGATTTTATCGTTTTGCACATAATCGTAGACTATTTGTCAACAGAAACGTTCGAAATGCTGTGATTAAATGTTCCATTTTCCATTTCGTACATTTAGTTGGGCTGCATTGCTTGCTTCGTAACCAAAGTAATAACAGACTTGGAAGCGCGTCGTGTGTTTCTTCGAAACCAAAAATACTCCAGGTATGAAAAGAAAAATTGCTCTTATTTCGAATCAAATATTAATGATTCAATGAGAAATTTGGTATGTTTTCCTAGAAAAGAAATATTCAAATGAGATAATCATTATATATTCTCATTGAGATATTGTCCATAGAGGAATATTTGCATATTGAAACGTTCTAAACGTGTTTTGGGGATTAAAAAAACCAGGCGTGTTGTGATGACGACATAATTCAAATATTGGCACGTAAAAATGGAAAATCACCAGAAAAATCAAGACGAATGACAGTCTCATAGCATGGCTGAGATTTTGGCTTAGTTTTACTGGTAGCTGGTGTCAAATTTCGTTCCTTCTGCACTAACTGCTACCATACCCCGTTGAAGTACTATTCTTCATGGGAGCTAGCGAGAACGTTATATCTCACCGGCGGTGACTCACCGCGAAAATCTCAGACGCACTTTGATATATTATTCAAATTAGATCATTTTACCGTGGAAATCCTCCGTTTTTTAGCATTTGATTTAGATTTCATCAAATTTTCATAAAATATTCATTAAATTTGAACTTCATGTCGACGAAATTTTCCAAAATCATAAATTTATTTCTTTCCTGTGATCGCAAACATATTTTCAAAAGAAATTCGAATTCAAATGAAGTTGAAATTTCGATTTTTCATTCAAAAACCCATCGACTGTCATTTGCAATTGATTCACTGGGATGGTATCCAACCATCATCACGAGCCATTATGCAAATATCTCTTCGTCGGTTGATTGGTTATTCTGTCAAAGTTGTTGTTCCATCTCATTTCGATTCCATTTATTTTTTTTTTCGGGGGTAAAAACCGCATAAACAGAGAATGGAGTCTACTGCACAATATAACATGGTCTTCGGCGGGAAATACATTTGCGAATATAACGTACGGTGGATTCTCACTGATTACCACACTTATGCTAATTTCAAGGTAAGAACTGTTTTTTCCAGCAAAAGGAGAAAATAACATGGGCGCACAAATGAAAAAAAAAACAGTGAAAAAAGGTGCACACAACAAATAAAAGCAAAAAGGCTAAAACAGAAGGTACAAAACGTAAAGCGAAAAATAACAGCAGCAACGGCGGCAGCAATAGCGGCAGTAGCTAGAGGAAACAAATAGAATAATTGTAATTGATATTCGCATGTTTCTGTTCACATTGAGAAGAGAAAAAAAAATCCAGCACAACACAATGTTACAATGCATGTATGTTGATTCTAGACTTTGGCATTTACGCTGCTGGAAAATGTGTCCGCTGTTGAGGCGAACGAGCGAGCGTGCGCGCTCTCGCGCACAATTTTAATGTGTGTCACACATGCAAACACACATCTACACCACATATTTTACAGATGAGAGTGAAAAACAAATGCACTCACATTCAAGATTGTGCATATGGCGCGCGATGCAGTGTGTGCATTGCTTTTTTTCTACTTCTATTTTTCATGCACACGCTTTATTCATTCGCATTCATTTTTGCATATTTCTTTTGAATGCATTGTTGCTGTTTTTTTCACTCTCTACGCGATTCTTTTTTTCTCTCTACATGTTTATTCGATGATTGTTTACTCTTTTTTTTTCTCTTTTCTCGTTTCAAACATTTTTCCATGCAGATGCATCGATGCCAGTTCAAGACCATCGCTAATTGAGAAAATATTTCTAATCGTTGGAATGCTCTGTTTCCTTGCCATGGGTATGTATGAAATATGTTGAAAAATCGATGCATTTTTTACGTTTTTTTTTCCCTCTAGTTTCGAAAAATCCCTTGAATTTCGTATGAAAATCCGTTTGTTTTCAACGGAAAACCAAAATCGTGTTGTGTGTTCAAAGCGTCGAAAATCGATAGTAATCTGTGCAATAAATGACCTTTCATACGACACCATTTCCTGCCTAACAACTATTAACAGCGACCAAATTACCTTTGCTTCCACATTGTTCATCCCATCAATCAATGTTATGTTTTTTTTCTTTCTCTCTCTCTCTCTCTCTCTCTCTCTCTCTCTTTCTCTCTTTCTCTCTTTCTCTCTTCACTATTTCATGTGACATCAGAGAAAAAAACAAACACAACAACTTGGCAATAAAGTCAAGTTTGTAATTCGCATTGATTACGAGAGACATGAATCTATTGAATTAATCTACACAGACGCAGCATGTGCGCTCTTCGTTCAGTTTCCATTTTATATAATTTTTTTTTTCATTTTTCTGTACAATGCAGGCCATAGACAGGGAGGCGAATAGTACGTATAATAAAAGTGTACAAAATTTTTCAGCGAGTCATCGAATTTTTCGCCACAGAGGGGAGAAACGACGATTCAAATGACTTTTAATGATGCTAAAGGCCTTGTTATAGCCACTTGACTGGCTGAAAATTGGCCGCTTGTAATTCGCAAAATATGCAAGGTCGGTCGAAAAATTACCACGTGCTTAAATTGCACTGTCATTTGCTTACGCGGTCGCCCTCGTGTCTCTCCTCTCGGGAAAAACCGACATTATGCTATGGCTAAATCTCGCGCGGTATTTGCCACTTTTGTTGCAGTTGTTTTCTTACTTCTTTGAGTCTACCGACATTTTTGTTTACACGCTGGTTGGCTCATTTACATTTTTCGCTAATTCCCGCTTGGTCTAGCTTCAGCTCCACGTTAAAAATGTAAGCTTTACATTCATTAGCTCCTGTTTTCGCTTGAAAGACTCTCTTCAGTCATTGCATTCGATCCCTTGTTATTTTACTTATTCATTCACTCCCTTACTAGTTCTAATCACAGTATCACTCTTTCTCTTTCTTCCTTCCTTTTCTTTCTTTCTTGTTCTCTCTCTGTCTCTCTTTCTCTTTCTCTCTACCCACCACCCTCTCTCTCCATTTTTCGCTCTATTCCCATCGCACTTTGCTTCTTTTACTCTCAAATTGAGACTCTCAATCTCTATTCCATTCTCTCACACTCACCTCCGCTCTCTAGTTCTCACATTTACTAATTCATTAGCCTCGTCCATTCATTCAAACAGCCCAACAAAACACAACACAAAATGTTTATTGGTTGAAAATTGTTGTTGCAGATATTTTCGGGCTGATTCTTATCGAAGTCTCAGCAGCTAGTTTACTGCTCTCACAATCATTATTATTCATTAAAACAACACCTCTTTAACATTGTTCACGTCGAATGCTGGCAAAGTTGGCAATTTGTTTTTTTTAAGATGAACATAAAAAATTTACCATGAGAGTGGAAAAGGCCATAAATTTTCCCTAAAAAAAGTCGTTTGCCTGTGCATTTCACTAATTTTATGCCTCTTGATGAAACTAACATAAAGTCAAAGTTTCGAACGAAGAAATACGTACGAAACGACCATAGGGAATGCAGCAGTATTCGAGATGCCAAGCATTTTAAATCACCGAATCCAAATTATGCATTCATTAAACTTTTAATTCAAGACGAAAGGAAGGCACATAAGACGGAAGACTTTAAGACGCGTAACACGGAAACGATGCTACAATGATATTTCACACCAAACTTTCTGTGTCATTGTTTTTGCCGAATTTTTTTTTTGATATTTTTCGTATTTTATTCCTTTTCTGGCTTTCCCTGACTTTTCCCTACATTTGCATTTGGTTTTTCATTTCTTATTTCTCTTTTCATCTCTTTTTCCGATTTTTCACCTTCTTCCTTCTCCATTTTGTCGCTTTTTCACTCACAGCAGCTTTTTCCTTGAACTCAACAAACTTTTTAACTAACTCTCTTATGTAAACACAAACATCCCAGAACCAGGGAGAGGCAAGTAGAGACCATTAAAGTGCGTAAACATTAACATTTTCATTTTGTCATTCGTTTTTATCGCAGGTGGCATTGTGTTGGCTGCTTTTGATCAAGTGCCATGGGAATTGCATGATAATTCCATAATATTGGGTTGTTTGTCGTTCTTCGTTGCATTGGTCATGATGTATGATTTGGCTGATCCGATGGCTCGCCACGTTACTGACATGACGCAAACAGAGCATGATTACACCACGTCACAGCGGCAAGAGCAACCGCATCAACCAACGCCACAGCAGCAGCAGCCATCTCAACAGCAAGTGATGACCATTACTGAGCCAGCTGCATCAAACAATTCATCGAGTCCAAGTGTTCAAGTGAATGAAACGACTCAGATCACTGTGACGGAGGAGCCGGTGCAGCCAGTGGCAAAACCGATCAAAGAAACAGTGGTGAGGACTCAAACGAAAACGGTACAAACTGCCATTGAACCGTCTTCACCCGATGACATTGCAAAAAATGGCAACTATCACCGGGGCGATACAATTGATTTTGTTCAGTATCAACATTTGCCACAGCCGGAGCAGCCAGTGTTTGAGCGTGTTCTGTTGCCGGAAAAGAAGCGGCCAACATTAAATAAAATTGCCGATCCGCACAAAACGGATCGCATCGTTCAAACTGTCCATCCCGACGAATATATTGTACGGGAGAGTCCAATCCATCGTCGTGAACACATCGATTCACAATTGCATTACAGCCAAATGCCAAAATATGCGGCCGTTCACCATCAACCAATGTCGTCACATCAACGTCCGACACATATTGGCGACAACCATCAGTATCTTGATCATCCTTCATCCTATGCGCTACCATCATCTATGTACAAATTGAGCCGAAGCTATAATGAGCACAATGATTATGAGCAGCCACCACCCAAGCAGACCGTTAAAATGGCACGATCGGACGAATTAGGCCGAAGCTACAACGCGCACAATGATTATGAGCGACCGCCACCCAAGCACACCGTTAAAATGGCACGATCGGACGAATTGGGCCGATATCGCGATCCAGCACCCGAACACTATCAAACGCAACCGATGATGGTCATACGAAATTATTCACAATCCATGGCAACGACCAGAGCACCAAGTACCGCCACTTCGGCAAACAATCTCGCCGAACAACGACGACAACAGCAACTGCAGCAGCAGCAACAGCAACATCGTCATGACAGCGCCTATCATCGAAATGCAAACAACAGCGGAATCAGAAAACATGGTGCTTCGCACATCACTCAAATGAATTCACGCAAAACCAGATGCTGCACCGACGATGAAGTCGATTTTCGTAAGTCAGTTTTGAATGGGTGATTCACCCATGGATTGTGTGAATTTCATTTTTTTAAATAGTGTTGAATTTCTTCATTTTGGCAATTGAAATTGTGCCCTAGAACTTTGATTTTTCTGTCCAAAAAATGAAAATTTCAAACCAATTTACAAATCTGAAATTTTGAATATATTTTGTCCAAATGCTAATTGATTCGAATCAAATTGCAGGTAAAATGAACTCATCGATACGTCCTGGATTTGTTCAGTCAGTTGCAAAAATGTGGGATCGGCGAGCCGTCGAAAATTCAGCTGAATTCAACACGATTGTTTAAGGAAAAAGAATGCCATTAGCCGGCGGAATTTAGCATAATCCAAGTTAGATTTTAATAAGTTTACTACAGAGTAAAGAATCTGTATTATAGATAAGTTCAATCGATGCTCCACATTGATATACACAATTATTATACATACGTCAACCATATACGATTTTTTTTAGCATTTTCACGTTAGAAATAAAGCGATTTTTTTTACTAACCAGTTCTTTTTGGAGAAGTGCAATTTTAGTTCTTACTTTTATTTTTACTCTATTTTAAGAACAAGTTTTCCATTTTCAAATGAAATTCTTTTATTGAAATAATGAAAAAAATAACTCTTTATTCTGACGTAAAATAAATGATTTTTTTTTATCTCAATAATCACTTACTTCCTTAGAATCGTCGAGAATTTCTTCGTTTGAATCAGGCAGATTTTTTGAAAATTGTGCGTGACTTGAAGTTGCCTTCAGTCCGGTATTCAAATTTTAAATCGTTCGAAATTTCATGAATTTGTTGAAAGAGTCATTGTGGCACCATCCTCAGACTAAATTCGTCGGAGCCACAACTTGATCGAGCAGCATTTTTGGAAGATTTTTGAATCTACGTTTCGGACAATTCGAATCAGAGAGGGTTATTTTTGTTGAATTTGCTAGGACAGGCGCCTGAAGCGTTATTTCAACGCATTCAAGGTGTAAAATTGTCATTGCTTGCAATGGTCTACGATGTTTCTCAATTTTACTGACCATTTACTAAATTTTTACTCAATTTTTTTTCGGTAAGGGTTATTTACAATGAAAATGTTGCACTGTGAATGCGTTAAAATAACGCTTCAGGCCCCTGAGTCAGCAAATTCATCTCAGGTGAGGCCTCCTCAGCAGCAAAACAACACTCTCTGATTCGAATTAAAACTAAGTTCTCACGTTCTAAGTTTAAATTGCGAAAAAATTCCCCTCCTGATTTGAGTACAATTCCATGAAAAATCCTCATAAAAATGCAAATCCTCTGGTTCGAATCTCAAACATGCCATTTTCTTGATGAGATTGTTTTTCCATTGTTTAAAAATAATTCCAACTGACTTGTTAGAAGCTGATAAGCTCGTCTTGTTCTTTCTGATGTTCATAGCTCTTTGCAGTTTGAAATTGAAATCTTCAAACTTTGAATCATCAACTCATCGTCATCAATGATGACTTATCATAGAGTTCTTTGAAGTATCGAAATCAGACTACCAGGTAAGAGAATTGTTATTGAATGACTTACAGTTTTACTATTGTTTTCTGATAAAATTTTCGCTTTTTTTATTTGTTCATTTAAGAGTAATTTATAGTATCATAATTTCACTTCTCCTTCTTTTATTTGGGATTTTATACATGAATAAAATTATTTTACACGTGCATGTATACATGAGTTGGTATACCAATTTGAATGATGTAGTTGAATAATTGATTGAAGTTACTTGAATGAACGAAATGCATTGTCGTGAACCAAGTGCGGCTGAGATGATGTCTCAAATTTATCACTGTCAAGTATTGTCCCATTCGCACTAACTGCAGTCTCTTTTCGTAGGTGTGGCAGCACTCATTAGTGCGAGCGAGTATGTTATATATGCTAGGTTATATGTCAACTTGTCAGTGCTATGGTCGCATCCATTATTTGGTAGAATCTTCGGTCCACTACAGACTACCAAAATGTGGATAAACGTAACAAAGGTCAATTTCCTAATGACTTGATGACTTTAACAAACATTCATCAGAGCTTAATGAATCCCGTGTGAAAAAAAATGACTGACTGACTTTAGATTCCGTTGACTGTAGTTGATTGAATTTATGGTTTTGTATGAAGAAAATCACTTTGTCCCAAAATAAGAAATTTATTTTGACTTGTAACTTTAAACGATTTCAGTTAACTTTGATAGACTTACACTACACGTTGTACTTTAATGTCAATCAAAGTAAGTCATTTTTGTCCGAAATTAGTTAATTGACTGGTCAGTTACAATATTTGCACACGGGAAGATATTCAATTTTGTCGGCGAATAAATGACCATGTTTTGCATTAGTTATGCCCATGTGGCTAGTGTTTTATGCTCGTTTTATGTTAATTTGGTATAAAATTCAAACGAAACTTCTCATTCAAAATTACAATAAATGTGCAATAAAAACGAAAATCACAATATCTAAATCGTATCGTTCATTAAATGGACATAAACCGAGTCGGAATTGATAATGAAATGAAAATTTCTTTGATTTTATCATTTCAAAGAAAATTTGAGTCTTTGATGATATCATGTATTCAAAAATGTCAACAAATGCTCCAGCTTATTTTTTTCAAACTTTTTCATTTTCTCTTCCATTTAGCACATTCAAATGGGAAATCATAGAAAAGAAAACAAGAACAGAACAAAAACTTTAAGATATGAAAAAAAAAAATGCAGAGAAAACACCAAATTGAATTCAGAAATGCAGCTCCGAATCGGATGTGTAATCTGAAAGACTGTTCGTATATTGGTTTTCTTTTCTGCGGCAAAGATGTTATTCATGTTTTCATTTTTGTCATATGAGGCAAGTTCCGCGTACTCAATACAAGACACATGAAATAAACTAGGCTAAAGACAAAAGTTTGGACAGCTGTTCGACAAAAACAAATGTGAGAATATTTTCTCTGTCGGCGGCAAATAGTTGTTTATTATACACCATCTGTTTGGCTGTTGCAAATTGAAATAGAGTCGCCGTGGAAAAGTTTTGGATAGACTCTTCATGTCATGTTCTCTTGATGAGTGTTTCCAGGCGACGATATTCCAAATATGGAATACTTATCAAATGACACTTTTCAAACAGAAAGATCGTAGCGAAAAGAAAAACAAAAGTTTTTAAATAAAAACCCATTCATTCGCTGTTAATGGAAATTGAAATGAAAACGAAATATGAAATAAATGAATTCACCATGAAATGTGTAACGAATTGTTATATTCCATCGAAGCGAAGAGATGAAACAAAGCACAATAATTAAAACTTAAAAGACCGACGCCGTACTAATTGAATAAGTGTTGCTTTGCATCGGGAGTTCAATGCCTTGAAAAATTATTTTCGTAGTTTTGGAGAAGTTATTTTGGTCGAAAAATCTTATTCAACCCGAAAATTGTACGAAACAAATGATTACACCATTAAATTTATCATCTTAATGAAGAGCGTGTAAAAGTTTCACTTTTATTGATGTCACAATGTGCTGATTATTACGAATAAGAGAGTGATGATGGGATAATAAATATGACAACGAACGACGGACATTTTTTAACTCATTCTTTGTGGTAATTTTTGGATTCATTTTTGAGAGTTTTACTTGGAGACTTCTGTTAGATTAATGTCGAAGTTTAATTTTTGAGGCTTTTTTTCTACGGAGAAAGAACGACACAAATTCAAAGATAACATGGAAATATTTTCGATGCCCTACAAAACGTGCAAATACGACAAACGAATGCTAGGTGATGTATGCACTTGCACATTTGCCATTCTTATTCGTGCTCAGTGGGCACTGCTCACTATGAACGAGACAAAGCAACATGAAAACAATAACAATAATACAGACGAACTCTGTGCAAATGCCCATGAATACGGCAAATACGTTAAGTCGTTCTTTCCCCCTAGATTTCTTTCACACTCATTTTGGACCAGACAATTCTTTCATTCATGGGTTCATCTTCATGACACATTTTTGCAACTCATTTCAACTTCATTTTTCATCAGTGTAAAAATATTCTGACTGAGCAACCAATCGATTATCTCGGGACATAGTCGACTAACTAGTCAATTTTTAACCAAAAGTGATTATCTAGTACAAAAACAATGACCCCAGTTAACTGCAATCACAAGTTGACTGCATTCAAATACATCCCAAATGAAGCGACTGACAAAAATTTTATTGTAGTCGACAATTTTTCATACAAATCATCTGCCCAGTTAACTAAAGTCGTTTATTTGTTGATTTCAGTTACAGTTTGTCATTCTTTATTGTCTATTTATTGAAGAAGTCATTTGTTTTCCACACAGGCAGACACTCTTGAAGCTAATTCGATCAGAATTTTCATTTGAAAACATTTTTGATGTAGAAAATTGCATTTTCGCTGATTTTTAAATGGTCGAAATAGAATTCTACAAAAAATGCAATTGTTTTAACCACGTAATAAAAATAAGGTAAGACTGGTCACCGTCCGATGTCCTATTTGAATGAAGAGCAATAGTATAAATTAATGGTAATAATATCATGTCAATCCCAAGATCAAACCACTCGACTCAACCGCAAATTGATTACAATTCTATGTATCAGCGAGTATTTTCAATCGGTTTCGTTGTCAAAGTAGTAATTTGCAATTTTTTCTTCAGTGAAAAAACCCCAAACCCATTAAGAAAGGAACGGAAAAACCATTATAATGGCAAATTGAATGCAAAACTAGCGACTCGACACAATGGCAAAGTGTCGTTTGTATGAGCTGAATGTGTGTCAGTGAGCGGTTATTTTGTGGTATGGTAAATTGCAATATGTTTTTCGTTGAACGTTGGTTGTCTCATTGTGCGCTTCTGTCGCGCAAAAAATCAACATTTGATTGTACACGAAACCGTTTCTCAAACATCTATCCCGGGTCGATAAATTGTGTATTGTTTGTTCCAAATTTATGTAAAATTAATTTTGCTTGCAATTAGATATATTTTTTGTTGTTGATTATTTGCGACAGAAGAAAAAATCCAATGTTTCTATAACTTGTTGTCATCGAATGGAATTTATTAACTTTGAATTTGCCAATTATATCGTATATCAATTTTTTTTATTGGCAAAAGAAATTTAGTTACGAAAAAAAAGAATACTTCTTCGTGTTTAGAATGCATAAAAAAGCGAGAGCGCATTTGTTTTGACTAAATATAGATCAAGTTCACTGAATGTTATATCAATGTGACCGTGTTTCGATGGCAACGCTTTCGGGCTGGTTTAGTAAGCTCGCACGACTACCGTCAAATCCGAATGGGTACGCAAGTAAAAATTTATTGTGACTTCATCACTCTTGCAAGACTCCAATTTGCGCTTCAGTTGTCCTATCTCGTTGGGATTTGTTTTTTTGTCAGAACCAAGGACTCGTTTTGGTCGTTTTTTTCCTGTGAAGTTTGCGTCGTTTTCCCTTGTACAGTCAACGTCTCTTTTGGTTGTTGTTGCTTGGCTGGTGAATTGTTGTAACTTTTTTCGCTGTAAGTGTTGCTCAATTGTCATTTAATCATCGTCTTAATGAAATTTTCGTTCGTTTTTTTAATCAGTCTTTTGAAATAGAAGTGCAAACAAAAAGAGTAAAAGCAAATAAAAATGTGTTCCGATTTGTGCTGTTCCTATCCATATACATCGTGCTATTCGTGCTCGCCATGCACCAGCCTACATTCACACTGCAGTTTGCGTACATGCAAATATCGGTCATACTGTGATCCATGCGGTTTGGTCTGCGTACCAGAGATTCGATTTTGCTACATTTGCTATCGTCGACACTGGAAATGTCGCCACTACTAAATTCGAAAAAACGACAGCCAATTCGATAAAACACCTCTCCATCACATACGCACACACACACACACACACACACACGATTTTTGGACATCATCACCACAATGAACATCTTCACATTCCTTTTATTTTGATTCTCATTTGCCTGCCACACAAGGAAGCACACTCAGGTTTATACGGAAAAATAACTTTTCACATTCCAACGAAAATGAATTCATTCCAAAGTTCGCACACGATTCGAATGACAACTTTTTTTTCGTTTCAGCAGCAACGGCTTGCACCATTTAGCACGGAATTTATGAACGAAGAACCAGAAATGTGTCAATTTGAAGGGGATAAAGTGAAAAATAGCCATTTGGAAAGGGAAAAAATGAAAAAAGAAACGAGTTCATTGGGAAAAACTAGGAAAAATCACTTCGAAAAACAAATGAAGCACTTCGACTCACAACTTGTGAGTCACAAGGCAACCAAGTAAAAAAATACCACACTGTGAAAGATGAAGAGCCCTTGGGTAAAAAGACCAAAAAAAATAGCAAAACAAGCGTAGAATTCAAATTAAAACTTACAAATGGACCATTACAACTTTGAAACTGCACGACTGATTCAAAATGAGCTCGTCCACCATGATATTCAATTTAAGGCATTCCAAATCACGTCCAGACACTTGGCAAACAAGTAATTAGTTAGTGTTAGTAGCTTAATTTTTGCAATCATTTTGACGGAGATAGTTAAAGTTCTAAACGCAAAACACACCCTGAACGATAGAATCACTGTGCAAAAAAAAATCAAGCTCATTAAAGAAAAATTCGAGAAAAAAAAACTCATCTTCAGTGTGGTCGATCAAATCGATACACGTTTTGTTTTCGTCAGCCACATTTGTATTGAAATGTTATGCACGAGCACGGCCGATTGACATCCTAACATTCCGAAAACTGTGTGTGAAAATGGCTTTGTTTTAGATATGCATATTTGGATATAGGCACAGGCAGGTAACATGTTTGAACCTACATATTCAAATGACACACTCGTGACAAGCATACATGCTTGTGTCAATACATAAATGATCCATTTAACAAGCCTAAATATTCCAAAACCGTTCTATAATTATGACATTTCTCCCAAAAACAAAACAAAAACGGTTACTAATTCAATCGGAATTGATTTTCCAGCTCATTTGCATAGTTCATTGGACAACTTTTAAGTGGCCACTCTTAGCTGTATAATATCATGTGGTCAGGTCAGTTCACTCACTGACATTTTCGGATCACATCCATTCGTCGTGATATCAGATGAAATGAACGACGACCATATTTGCCTTATCTACCGAATATACCCATTTCGACACTATTTTACACGGGTTCGCTGTAAACCAATAACATAATTTAACAAACGCACTTTTGATGAACCAGACAAGCAGCTGCTAGATTTCAATCCGGTATTGATTTGGGATTTGAATTCGAGTTTGATTTGGATTCGATTTCAGTTTGAAGTTTAATTGTATTTGATTTTGCTTGCATTTGAATTGAATTTGACTTAAATTTAATTTGGATTTAAATTCCATTAGAATTGACAAATCATTTGAACGTAGAGTTGAATGGGATTCGGTTACGTTTTGCTTTAAAATAAAAACTTAAGCATCGTTGATTGGAAATATCATTGAATGAACAAAAATTTTCGATTAAAATTAATTGCATCAAAAATTGTTAAATGGTTTTGGTTTAAAAATTTCAAAAATTCGATCTTGTGGGTTTTTTTGGCAAGTAATTTTGATTTTCGACCATTTTAAGCTATTGAGAATTCAAAAGAGGATAAAACAATTAAAATAAGGGGTGAGGCATGAAAGAGACCAAAGTTGTATTCAAACTAACACTCGATCGGTATTTGGAAATACTCAGTTCGGTATGTGGAAAGGTCGAGAAAGGTCGAAACTAAGTTCGACTTAAATGCATCCGATATGAAGAATTGTGTTTCACTCTTCGAAAAATCATTATTGCATCATCGTTTTGAACTCAGATTTGAAGTGAACATGGTAGTTATTTGATTTATTCTGTTTAAACTTTGTTTCGATTTTTGTTAAGGTTATTTTTCTGTTCAAAATTTTGTTGATTTATTGAATTCAATTTTTTGTTCCTCCTTTTTGTTTTTCCTGTTCCGAAAATTCTTTCAAATTTTAATTTTTTTCTTCTTCAAATTTGATGTTTTCTCTGGTGCTTTCTTAATTCAATTGGTGTTTACTTGGATTTTGGGAAAAAAGAGGTTTACTTGAAAAAATTTGGTCGACCTTTGATCAGAAGCCGGTAATCTTTCTTGAAAAATGCCAAAAATTCAACTAAATCTTACTTCAAATCGAATAAAATTGTATTTAAAAGACCGAAAAGAGAAGAAACCGAAAAAAAACTCCATCTTACGCCACACATTTTTGGTATGTATCCGTTGCAAAAGTGAAGTAATTAATTGAGAAAGTGGTTCAAAATGTTGTTAATTTGCATATTTAATTACGCACACACGCTTGAAAAAGAAGCGCAAAAAAAGAGTGTCTGATTTCGATCTGGGTGAAGGAGTTAGATATGTCGTGATTGGTGTGTGGCAGCTCGATTCATTAAATGTGAAAATTAATTCGAGATCGCGCTTTCGGCAATAAAGTGTTCGAAAAACTGATAGGATCGTGTGAAACGGGGCCATACATGATTGTTTATGTTTGTGATCAGTTTGTCGGTTTGCAAGTGAATGCGCTTGGTCATAAAAAATATTTCATAATACACAATGGCATAGTGATCAGATGAACAAATCCAAATTTGACCAGATAATTTAGATGTTGTACTGTTTTATTTTTTGTTTTCGACTTTACCACGCACGCACAATGACTCACCTGTTTTTCTTCTTCTTCTGAGCAAGTTCAAACGATGTGAGATGAAGAATGAAATGAGAAACAGAGCGTTTGATGTTCACATTTAAAATACTTGTTATTCTGTTACTTTTTTTTCTTCCACTGTGGGATCATGTGTGCAGAAAGACAATGGAGCACAAACATTGAACCAAGATGAAGAGAGCGAGAGATTGGGAGAGAAAAAAAAACGCGAAGAAATTCCGAAAACATTAAAACAATTTTCATTGAAATGCGGTATTAATGACTTTCGTCTGTTGAAAGACATTATTTACTGGCGTCTCGGCTATATGATTCACGTTGAATTAGGTTAATTTTTCTGTTGTTGTTTGGAGCTGTTGATGTTGTTGTTGTTGAAAGAGTGTAGTGCAAACGTTCTTTGAAAACTTATTTGTTTCCAACGGAATAAGATTTTTAAGATCGATTAACGAACGCAACAGCCAAATTTTATCATTTTCGCTTTTTGTTTACATGATTCGCCATCGTTAATGGCTGCTTGTTCTCTGTCTTTCGTCTCCTCTCAGTTCAATCGCATCCATTGTTCAGAAGCAAATTCCCTTTTTTTATGTCTCTTCGTCACGCGCTCCATTTTTCGCGGCGAATCGCATTTCGGACAAATTCGACTTTGGGATTGCTTCTCTGCCGCATGCATGTTATACACAGATAAACATTGCCCAAATCACAACATTGAACCAAACACCGTACATCACACGCATCTGAATAACGTGAAAATAGCAAAATGATCATAATTTTGTAGACGGCTTTGAATTTTTCATCCATTTTATTCACAAGCCAATTATACGGCTTTTACATCCGCAACTTTTGAGGGCATGACGAACGCGCGCGCTCGTCAACTTGCACCAGCTTGTCACAACTGAACACAATCTAGCGAAAGTGACAGTTACAATTTTTGATGCTACCGCGGAAATTGTCACCATTTGCTCAGTTTTTTTGACGATTGGTCGCAATAAACTCGATGCCATATTCTTGAAGAAAAACGACCAGACTGTTCTGTGAGGGGCCCAATGATCTTTCTATTTCAACACCACTCAATCTGAGGAAGTGACTTTTTTTTTTGCAAAAATTGGTCGATTCCAGACGAGTTTTCTGATTTTGTTCATAATTCTTTTTATAATTTCGATTTGTTGTTCGATTCATTTTCGACTCGATTTTGAAGTTTACAAATTTTCTAATTTCTGACTTCATTTTCGATTAATTTACCATCCTTTATTAAATTCTCCTTCAAAACTAAAAGTTAATTCGGTCAAAAGCGCATTCCCCTTCCAAATCGTTCCTTCCTTTCATGCTTTCTCCTGTAATTTCACGTATAACCAATAGCAAGTATCGATTTTGCTCATGTTGTGTGAGGTCATCAATTCTGCTTGACTTTGGCGGGAAACCGAATGTCGTTTTCCATTCAAAGTGGCAAAGTTCATAAACTCTTGATAAATGAGTAGAAAGTGTTTGTTCCATATCGAAATAGATCACGCACCCAGAAAATGAGTTGTTTATATTTTTTTCTTTTGTATTCATTGTTCTATCGACTGTGCATTGCGTTTTTGAATCCGAAGCAAATTCACATATAATAGTAATTGAAATTCATAACTAGGGATTCCAATTTGCATAACAACACACTAAAAACGAAGAAAAAAAAACATAAATTTGAATTTTGATTGATTCGAAAATCCATTCGATTGTTGTAAGTAGACAAAGAGAACCAACAACCAAAATGATTATTTACCAATCGATTCTGTCATCTTTGGCAACAAAGAAACACATTTAGCTTTACAATAAAAAATAAATTGTCAAATTGTCCGAAATTATTGTTCACATTAATTAATCATCCGTCAAATAAAGTTTGTGTTCGTGTTGGGTCTCGATGTGAGTTTTTTATTATATACTAAGCGAATCGGAAAATGATTTCCATCGAAATCAACCGACTTGAAACCATCCACGGTAAAAAGAGGACCAATGTTGGAATATTTGAGGTAAGAAATGAACAGTGAGACTGAATTTGACGGAGATACAGAACGGATTTAGAGGTGAGAGAGACAAAGGGAGAATGAGGGAAAAAGAGAGAGAGAGAGAGAGAGAGAAGAGGATAGAGAAGGGGAGATAGAGATGGAGAGGGACAGATTTCCTCAGAGAAGGAAAAAAGCGAAATGGCGACACAAAATTGGGGTAAGATATTGAATATCCATCTAGGGGCGAAAGACTTCCTAGAATATGGTTTTCTTTGATCAAAATTTCGGCATTTTTGATCTGAATTATTCTTCAAACCAAATGACCATGGAGTTGACAGTAAACTTCAAACAACCTAGAAACTCCACTCACAGTTAAGTTCTGTCAAAGATTGATTTTCTGAAGTACTTCTTCTTGATTTATTACATTCAATTGCAATTTATTTTCATTTCAAAGGGGTGACAATTGAATGAGAGGAAAAAAAACTGAAAATAATTCATTTTTCTACCGGTTGAGTATGTGTAGAAGTTTGAATTGTATTTGAATGAGGAAAAAATGGTCAACAAAACAAAAAGGGGCAAGAAAAAAGTCTGCGTGTATTTGTTGTAATTTAGTGAATTAGGCCAATCGTTGATGTTTGTTTGATTTTTTTTTTATCGCATCGTGCTTTGAATCGTGTCTCGAGCGTAATTTGAAAGTAAAATCAATTTGCGATAGGTTTGAACGAGTTAAAGACCAAAACAAAATATTCGAAATTGTTGACTTCGTCAACGATATTACCATTTGCTGTCGATTAAAGAAATTTTATCCCAATTAAGTGAGTGCGTTAAGTGAGGAAAGAAAAATATTGCGCTAAAATGAACATGATCTGCGTAGAAGATGTGCAAGAAAAAAGAAAAACCGTACGTATTTTCGCGAGTGAGTAAATAAGCGTGGGGAGGGCAAAAAGTGTGTTAAAATCAAATGCGACATGCGAAATAAGTTTGCAACATTGAATGCAATTTGTTGAACACCGTGTACGAGCTGGTGCGCATGATAGCCGGTGTTGTGGTGCGCGCGTATCAGTCAATGCCGTTTTGTTTCTCTTCAAAAGCAAAAACAAAAACAACAGCGAATAAATAACAACAAAGTCGTATGTGTTTGCTTCGCGGAACTAGTTCTACAATGGTGATTAATGCGATGTGGTAAAATCATAAGCCAACATTAAATGTGAAATAGAAAATTGTCTTCACTTCACCATTCTGGCTTTGAACTAGCATTACTGTGTGCATTGAATGTTTATTGATCGTTAAATATGGTGATAATGGATAGCCAAGCTCTGTTCGAGCTGTGTCACATACACATGTATGCGCAATGCACATTGCGCACGTACGCATGCAGCCGACTCATCAATGCCATGCTTGTCTTTTACACACAAACATCTTCTGATTTCCCGTTTAACGGCTAATATAATAATCAAGTCGCTCGTTCGATCCACCCATTCGATGATTGCAAAACGATTAAATAATATATGCTTTTGACTTTGGCGCTTACCTATGATTGCTGATCTTGCAAACGCGAGCGCGATGATAACATCGTTCGATAATCGGAAGTCATAGACTTTGCTTCGTTGATGTTGACGACGATGACGACGGCGATGGAGGCAGCAGCATAGATGGCCAGAAATAGACAGACTCCGGACAACAAACACACAAAACTAATTCGCAACTTTCATTTCAATTTGCCAATCGATTTTTATTTATTTGGCAGTTGTGACAGGTTTCCTTTTGCTCGCGCTTCTCAACAATCTCAAGCAAGTATTAGACTCGTTTCATTTACGGAACATTTTTAGTCTCGCTATTTTTATTCCGTCGTCAATAAATTGGCGTCACTTAATTGGCGAATATAGAAAAAAAGATGGAGAAATAAAAACTATTTCTGGCACCCGCTTAATTGTAATCGGAAACGAGGTGAATACGTTTTTGGAATTTTTACCGCCGAGAAAAAAACGACGCTAAATTGTATTTAAGCCACATAAACACCTGAAATAACGGCGTTTTATGGGTGCAAAATTAAAACTCACTTGAATGTGAAATTCATTTAACGGAGAAATAAATGAAAAATACTCACCGTTTTTTGTAGGAAAAGATGTCTTCGAGTCGAGTAAGAAACATTATCGAAAACCCCTTGGCGCACGTCATGAAAGCGCTAATGCAGTTTTTATATATTGAATATTTGGGTTCTCGAATATTCTACTTTTCCACACGACCATGCCGTGTAAGAAATGTATTGGGATCGCTCCAGATTTTTTGACCCAATGAAAATCAGTTTTCGATTATCGAACTATGAAAAACGCAAAATCTGGCGTTATTCTAGGGTGTTAGGATAGGTGCGTGATACCCTGTACGCTGTACGCAAAGAATACGGTGAAAAATTTGCTATGTTTGAAAGTGTAGAACTGAAATGAATCGTGTAGACAAGTTCACCTTACGTATGTAAGACATTTTATTTAGATTAGTAATCGTAACGCATGAATTCCACAGAGATTTTTTGCCTTTTTTTATGAAGATTTGGAAAATAAAAAAGAAATTGATTCAAACAAAGAAAATACTTCGGCCGATGCCTTGATTTGATTCAATGTAGATGAAGAGCTTCGTTCGAGTTGAAAAGAGCCTACGAGCCATACTGTCTATGGTCCATAGACTATGGACTTGTCTCCAACGCATTGTATCTTTTCATTATATGAACTTTTATTTATTTATGAACTATTTGAACTAAATTTATGAATTTATTGAACTAAATTTTTGAACTATTCATTTACCATTGAATTTAATTGGTTAGGATGAATCATTGCGTTGCTTGTTGTTTGGTTTTCGGTTTTTTATTGATTGTTTGCTTGTTAAATTAAACTAGGGATAATATCGAACATGTGTAATACGTAATAAAAGAAATCTACCGAAGTTTTGTCATCAAAATATCGATTAGAGTAGAAAAGTTTTTTTTTTATGAATGAAATGAAATGATGAAATAGCGCAGATGAAGATGAATCATGGAGAACTTCCATAAACAAGAATATTTCATCTTCTGCAAATAAGAACATAAATAAACGATGAAACTGATTGAGACAAAATCATAGTGGAGATGAGCCTGAAGTGAACTTTACTGATGAGAAAAATGTCATTGATCAACCTTAATTAGTCTGAAGGCCGAAGAAAAGGAAATTTCCTCCGTTTTTCAAATTATATGAGATTCTCATTTCTTCTCTGTACAATTTTCAGAATTTACTTTGGGCCGCTGCACGAATTTCTGGAATTTTCATAATTTTTGCATAGATTTTATACAAAATGCAACCAAAAACACTGAAGAAAAAAGTGAGTAACAAAAAAAACTTTTAAAAAATGGTAAAGAAAAATCAATGGTGTCTGCAAACTCATTGAATTTAATGGAAAATGGTGCAAATTGAATATAATCATTTCGCGCGAAATAAAATTTAGTGGCTTCCGTCATTTGCTTCGATATTTTATTGAATTTGTTGGCAGTTGCCTTATCAAATCGATAAATAAAGTAGTGTCATAAGCACAGAAGACACAGAGAAATGCGGAAATAGGAAGAAACCGATGAAGAGTGTTTTTTTTTCACTCAAAACATGTGTGTTTCTTCTTCTCTATCGAATACCGGTCCATTCGCCCGATGCTCTTAACGCATCGCGCATTTTCGATCATTCCACACCTACTGACGCAAATTACTGTATTACCGGGTGAAATTTAGAGAGAAAAAAAAACCCATCCATTTCTACATCGCGCTATGCCACGGTTCAAAACCACACATTCAATCTCCACTCCCGTCAAATTCAAAACGATTACACAGTTCAAAACAAACGGAACGCAAACGAGCTCGCTCGAACTGTAGCACACAGTTCAAAATGAGCAAAGTCATGAAACGAATAATTTCAGTGTGGAAAAAAATGCAGTGACGTGAAACGGCGATTTCCGATGCTGCAAACGTATTTTGTTTTTGTCAGAAACAACATGTCATTTTCATTGATGCGACGCACGCATTTCGAAACGTTATCGAGTTATTCGAACATATTGAATCAAACGATTTAATAATGGGCCTTTCAAGAATCGAACCAATCCGATTACGATTCACATTTATGAAATATATTTATAATTCGGTTTACGCTTGAACATATTTCTTTTTTGCTGTGTTGAGCAATCAACTGGAATGGTACAGAAAATTCGTTGAAGAAGTTTGAACTATATGCGGAAAAAATGAATTTCACAGTCGTTCACAAATGTTTGTTGTTGTTGTTTTTTGGCTTGATACTTCATTTGATTTAAATCTCTCGCCTCTTTTTCGGTAAATGTTGATTTATTTGTATTCGAAAATGTTGATTTATTTGTTTTCGATGATTGATTTCAATCTATGCAATGATACTAATTCATGACCCATAAAACACCTTGTAAACTCTTCAATGGCACACATTTCCGGGATTCGTCTTCAACATGCTGCAAATCTTGATTAAACTCACTATGTGCAGCTAGACGAGAAATTTATTCACAATTCACTCACATTTCATTTAAATTATCGATTGGGACGCTTTTTTCGCTGCTTTCACAACTGTCGTGAAAGACTTCCCGAAAAAAACAAATGTTGAGAGGTAGATAAATGAATTTATGACTAGCTTTTATGTGAAAGGGTGTCTATGGATAAAAAATGGAGAAAAAAAGAGAAAAATGACCGATGCCAAAAATCCGTAACTGTTTTGCTATCAATAGTAACTGTATCTGTTGTGTACAAAATGCACCAGCTGAAATTCACATTCGTTCTTCTAACCGTGTCACAGTTTCAGTGATCTATGCGATCGCATAGAACCTAACCATCCATATTCGATGAATTTTATCAACACTTTTTATCACATCGATTGCTATTTTTTAAGCTATCTATACCCAAGAGAAACGGCCAATATGTTTCACGCTGAAGAATACACCGAATATACACTAGAATATATATTCAATTCGGTGTCCAATAAGCGTGAATATATATTGTAGTGTATTTTCGGCGGATAGAAAGCATTTAAACATATTGGCCGTTTCTCTTGGGTCATTACACTTATCTAAATATATTGAAAAAAGCATTGATCATTAATTTTTATATAAGAATATGTCTCTTTAATAAAAAATACGAATCTGCAAATCAACATGGTTTAAACCCATTCCATTTTTCGAGTAGAAATTTCGCGATTTTTCCTGGGTCTTCTTGTGAATTTTTGGATGTAACTTTTCAACCATTCCCGTATCGACCATTCCATACAAAATCAGACACTTTCTGCATCGAGGTCTACAGAATCGACTGAAACTTTGCACGGGAGTTGGGCAAAAAACTCAGACAGCCAATTTTTCCCCCATGGTCTGCCCAAACCCAACTTCCGTGCAAATTTTCACCCAATTCTGAAGACCTCGATGCAGAAAGTGCCTAATTTCGTATGGAATGGTCGGTGTAAAGATAAAATGATTAACAGTCACTTGGTTTTATGTGATGGTACACAACTAAAACTGGCTAAGTTAATTGAAATCAAGTATTTTGTATGGAGATAATCACGTTTAGTCAGTTAAAATGTCCCAGACTTACTAGATACTTAGTAATAGACTGAAAGAATGACTAAACGTTATTATGTCCATACAAAATACTTGATTTCAATCAACTTAGCCAGTTTCAGTTGTGACTTAGTCAGTCAGAAGATTTCCACACGGGTTTGCAAGGAAAAACTTTGAAAAATCATCCTAGGCTGAAAGCTGAAAGTCGGCTGAAACTCAATAACATCTCTGCAAAATTTCATGAAATTCCCAGTATACCGTTGGCACCTTGGCAAATAATGGGTTAATAAATTAAATCTTAAGACTTTTCATCTGAAATGCATTCTTCCACGTTTCGTCACCGTCACATTCTTTGTGAAAATATTTTTTTTCTTTCAAAAAACCCGAACATTTTAATTACAATCTAGATTAGATTGAATAATCCGCATTAAATTCCATCAAAAGCATTCGTAATCGAAATCATTTTTTAGCATGTGCGATTGAAATTATTCGAAAACACATTTTTCCACATAAAATGTTATCAATTAAAGATTTACCTTATTTCTTCATCAAAACACTCTTTATGTCATTAGTTTGAGTTAGACTAATTGGATAAAATTACTGTTATGGTCCACCTTTGGCATAATTGCTGTATATATGTGGCTGATGCATTCGAAGTAAAAGTTAATGTTTGAAACATTTTGCCGTTTCAAAAAAAAAAAACATCGAACGAGAGGCAATCTAAAACTCTAAATGAGAGACATATTGAATTTAGCCGTTGGCTATGCAATAAAATGCGTCAATAATTGAAAACACCTCGCAATGATCGCACCATCTGGCCGTGCGGCTACTGATATTAAATCACTTTATTACGAATCATTGCTACGGTGAGTTCATGGAATTGAACATTTTAGATTTCAATTGATTGTGCAAACTAAGCTGCATTTCAATTTCAAATACACGGGATGTGGGGATGTGTAATCAAAGCCTATGTTTTGGGAAATGCTATCAAATGGTTATTTAAATGCCGAATGCCCTATTACCTATCCATGTAAAAAAAAATTATGCTATTTGTGTTGGATTCATCAAAATGATTTCAAATCCATCAATTATTTAAATCATAGCGCGGTGCATAGGTCGGATTGAAACGCACCAAGTGTGGTCCGAAGAATGATTCAAAGTTGAAATTTCAAACACATCAGAGAAAAACAGAAGTCGCGGACACTTTGTTTGAAGTAATAAAACGAGACAGTCAAACATAGTATTTTGTAAAATAAGCCGAGTACACGAACCTATAAAATGTATCGTCAAGAGTCAATGAAAAATATATCAGCCTTACTTTAATTAAATCGATCGTAAATGTGGAGTCGTTGTAAATTTGATGTAAAAATGATTGGATAAGGGCAGCGCAGCACATTTGATTGATTTACGGCAGTAAACATGATGTGAGTGAAAGACAGAGAAAGACAGACTCACATAGAGAGAGAGAGAGAGAGAGAGAGAGAGAGAGAGAGAGAAAGAGAGATAGATAAAGAGAGAGACAGTGAGCGAGGGAATAAGATGAAAAGAGACAGAATGGGATATGGGAAGAGTTAAAGAGAGGTCGAAAGCGGAAGAAAAAGAGGAAAAGAGCCAAAAAGAGACAGAAAGAGACAGAGACAGAGACAGAGAGAGAGAGAGAGAGAGAGAGAGAGATTCACAGAGATAGACGAATTGAGCCGCATCAAGTGATGTGCTGCACATGATTTGTGTGTATGAGCGCACATGAGTGACATGCATGACCCAATCGTCTAATAAAAGCGGCAATTTATTTGGAAGTGCGCGATGCAAGTGTGTCTGTCCAATGTCCATACACAGTAGTTGTGTCCATTGCAATCATCTAGTTAAATATGAGCTCGGCCAGCTAGAGTGAAATGTTCAAAAAGAGAGAGAAAGAAAAAAAAAATTAATGCCAATTAAGAGAAAATTGGCTATGCTGCAGTAATGCCATACATGACGTACAATTTTGGGCAATCGAAAAGTGTTTGAGCACGACTAGTGTTTAAATTAAGTTAAAAAAGAAAAGAGTGTTGTAAGTTGGTATTGAGGCATGGTCATTAAAATGAATCAAGCGATTAGTTCGAGACGGAAAAAGAAGAAATGACAAGTTGAGGGCCCCGTATCAACGGGAAAAACTGCAAGCATAAATAACCCAAGTGAGATGATGTACACCACAACTTCCGAGCAGTGTGCGCGCTGTCGGCCGTATTCAGTTTTGCTCTCACACCTGCTCTCGTTTACGATCTTCTGCACTTGCAGTTTATGATGCAAGCAGAGAGCCATCATACATATATAATTTATTTTTTTTTTCATATATTCTTCACTGTTCTTCTTTCTGTCTGTTGCTGCTGCTGTTTTGTTACTTGTTTCAAATGCAACGCTGTTGAGCAAACACACAGCCACGCCAAGCAATTCAACCGTTATGCGAACCAAACGAACGAACGAATTAAACAGGCTGTTTGTACGCGGCACCGTGAGTTGTGCGCCGACTCATCATACTCGATTCCGTCAGTTGTACACTGGATTCGATGGTGTATGGTCGCGCATTCGTATCGTCACAGCAAAAACTCCAAAAGAGAGTCTATCGCGCGCTACTGTTGCCGGTTTCTTCGAACCAGTTCTTCTAGCTTTAGTGCGTGCGTTCGTTCGTTCGTGTGTGTTATTGTTAGTGTTATTATTCTTTTTCCATTATTATTAAAGCTATGCAAACAAAATAGTTCATCCCGTTATCAAACAAAGTGTTGAAACATTCTAAGTGGTGCGCGTGCACACGTTTGCCGTGCAAAAAACTCGCATGTCCACTGTGTGTCCACATGTATATCCCATATAATTCGTGCAAACGGTTGATGAATACGGTTAATTAGAAGAAGAAAACAACAACAGAATTTACACACACACACACTCAAATCAGTTGTTGTGAAACGGCGATAAACTGGAGTAAAGAAAATTGATAACCAAATTTATTTGTCTCTAATGCGTGGAACCAAAATCTTAATTTTATAATTGAATTGGTGTATGGCCGAATCAGCCGGATGATGGTTTTTGAAGAAAAAAAAAACAATGTTCAACAATAGCAACGATTGAAGAGAGAAAGAATTTCATATATGTAGAAAAATGTGGTGTTGCTGTTGTTGTTGGTCGGTGGAGAGATTGAGTTAAATCGTCCGCAGAGAGAGCATCATCGGTCGCTTGTTTTGCGTGAGGGGCCGAGAACAAAAGAACATATTCATTGATCCAATTACGGCTCACCGAACGATGCTGCTGCTGTTCTGTTTTGTGCATCACCACACAGTGTGCTAATAAATTGGAATGCATAAAACATACCAGAACAACGAATGCCAATCATTGTGTGTGTGTGTGTATGCTCTATGTTGGATTCTATCTGCTGCGGCAATAGCGACAGTCGAGTGAGTGAGTTTGTTGTGTGTATGTTTTGATTGCGATCGACAGAAGGTCATTATGCGATCCCATCCAATTGGGATTAATATTCGGTGTCGTTTTTCTCTGTTTTTTTGTTTTGTTTGGTGGGTAACAACAAAAACAGCAACAAAAAAACGTGCTACTGCTGCCCATTATATGCTTTGTCCGGAAGCAATTCATTTTGGCTTTGGATGCATTGATTTCGTATTCGAAACTACGGTCGCATCATTTCACATTGCATTTAGAAATTGTTTCGATTCGTGTCGAATGATCTCGTCGTCATTTCTATTGACTCCCTTGGTGTGTTTTGTGTGTTCAATTCGTCTGTCTTTGTCGTTTGTCGTTCATCGGTCCATCTCATTGTCTTTCGCTCTCTTGTAGCCCAAAACCCACAAAAGTGTTGTGTTGTTGGTTGATCATGCGCAAATTATTTACCTCGCTCTCCTCTCATCTTTCTCGCGCGCCGTTTTCATTTCGTCGAATTTTTCGGCGTGCTTGAGTGACTTGCATTGAAATCGCAGCCGGACCTTTAGTTTGTGTTTATGTTTGCATCTCTTGCGCTCTATCCGCGCCAAGATAGATCCCATTTCGTTCTTATGAGCGCGAGCGCGAGTACGCTCACAAACGACGGCCTCCGTGAAAGTATCTCGACTATTTTCTGTTTTCGATATCTGTTCCGATACTCTCTCGCTCGCTCGCTTGTTCTTGTGTGTGCGCTTCTTCATTTGCTGCTGCTGTCGTCATTGTTATTGTTGTTGTTTTACTTCGCGCATCGTGCGTTTTATTTTGATTTATCCATTCATTCGCTCATTCGTTTGTTTCTCTCTCTCTCTCTCTCTCTCTCTCTATCTATCTCCGGTGTGCTCTATTGTTTATAACAGCCAGCGCAAAGGAGATGAAAAATGTGTGTATCTGCTGCTGTGCTGCGGTTCGGAAAAGAAGAAGACTTTGTGCTAAATAGATCTGCAGCCGTGATATGATGCTGAATGCTGATGCCTCTGTGCTGGATTTTGCTTTTGCTTCTCGCTATTTCTCGTTATTGCTGTTTGCTAATGCTGCTTGATCATCGTTTCAAACACACACACACACACACACACACACACCCATCTCGCAGCTCATTTATGCGCTCGCGCGCTGGAAAAAAAATCCATAATAAGAACACGATCACGCGTATGGAAAAAGTTACACACTGATTTTATTTCTGCTGTTTCTATTGCTGCTGTTGCTGATTTTTTCATTATGCCTTTGTTATTTCGCAAATGAAATATACGCAATTTGTAACGGAGCGCAGAGTATTCGATAAAATGTTCCAATCCTACGAATTTTCAATTGATTTTCACAAATCATCGTGTTCTTTTCGCACATCATACATGCCGATGCGTGTGTGCTTTCGACAAAAATTCGTAATGGTCACTTTTGCATCACGTATCAGCAGCACGCCTGCTGCTATTTCATAAATATCAATTCGAGCAATCTGCGTGTGTTTTTTTCTTCTGCGCTCTTCGCTTTTGATTGGAACAATTTTTCGATTGAACATTTTTATTTTTAAGATTGAATCGAAAAATGCGTAGCGTTTTCATACCTCGAATTGACCATGCAAAACGTATTTTTCTTCTTTTTTTTTCTTTCTTCAATTCAACGCTGAATGGATTGAAATGAGAATTAAATTTTTCATTTGCTTTGGCTATTCAATGGGATTTTCTGCAAGACTTTTCATTCAAAGAGATTTTTCTTTCTTTCGAGAAAAGAGATCTTTCTTTGAAGAGATTGTTTTTCATCTCTCGTCAGATGAACGAAAATCCAAACGATTTGGTTTTTGCTTGGGCCAAATGAAATTTACACGATTTGTCTGCCGTTGTTTGGCATATGTTTTCTTTTGTTCATCCAGAAATATCAATTTTAATAACTGTGCGCCGAGTTTAGTTCCGTTTTACACATACATTTGCCCAAATACTTTCGGATCATAATTCTTTCAACAATGATAATGGTGGCGGCAACGACAGCAACCAAAGCAAATGCGCGCGCGCCACTGCGATAGAGCAATTTTCGAGTGAACAAGCAACAGAAATTAGAGGCAAAACTCAATGAAAACGGACTATGGAAACGGTGTAAAATTAGCTTGTGAATGAGAGAGAATTTCACCCATTGTGTTTCATCTTCACGCCCAATTATTCACCTTTCAACAGCATCAGCCGCAAAGCATCAACAGACAGCAAACGTATCGACACAACAGCACGAGAATCACCAAAAGCAACACAAACACAGCAGCCGAGAGTCTGCACCTTGAACAACAGTTGAAGAAGAGGAGCGAGTTAACGATTGAATGAGTGAGAAATATTTAGCCATATCTAGCCAAAATTGGGAGAACGAAATTGCCAAATTTATAGATAAAATTGCAGAGATTGAACTGATTCATAAGATGTTTGTGTCATTTTCTACAAGTCTTGCGTTTCTTCGGCTCATTTTTGACTTGAGATGACTCATCCAATCATAGTGATCCTGATGGGACAGCAATTACCTTCTATCTGTTTAAGTCGAATAGCTTGAATAAGTCAATTAGCTTGAATAAGTCATAATTATGTACTAGGGTGGAATTACACGAAATTTGTGAGGAATCGGGGACTTCCCCATCGACTTCCCCATCGACTTCCCCATCGACTTCCCCAT